ATATCTCATTAAGATTTGCAACAGAAAGTGACTCGAGAGACCAAAAAAAATAAAATAAAATAAAAATAAAAATGGAGAGTTCATAACTGATGAGCATACTTTAAGGCCCGTTCACTTCGTGCATTACACTCAAATAAAGTGAACTCGAATTTATTTTTGGACTGAAATAAGCATTCGCTTACCCAAACTTGAATTTAAAATTCGAGTAATAACTCGAGTAGGTAAACTTCACCGTCCCCTCAAACTCCCATTACTCGAGTTATTTTCTACAGTGCTCTTCTGACATTTCTCTTCCCGTTGGATTCCTGTTGCCTCACGAGAAAGCTCTGCCTGCTCTGCAAAAAGCTTGCAGATTCTCCTCAATGAGACCAACGATTAATCAATCCACTATGAAATCGCTTGGACCGCTGCACACCATTCCCACAAGCGTGTTCTTCTTGGACCGCTGTGAAATCGCTTCATCCACCAAACTCACCCACGGTGAAGTTGCTCGCAGGTACATCCCATATAAACTCAGCCCAAATCGGCAATATTGGTGAATCCCGATCCCTATATTCCTTTGTTGCCTTCTCCTTCAGTGATTCAACACGGGAGAAATTGATCCCACGCGAGTGAGCCGGCTTCCTCCGTTGGCCGTGCTCCTGCGTCGATGTAGCGCCAAACGCCGTCTCCGACCTCCGAAGCGTGCTCCTAGAAATAGAGCTTTCTGTTGTCGGTGCCGGTATCCATCTCTTCACCGACGTCCATCACAGTCGCGTTTGGGGGTTGTCGAAGCAGATCAACCATTGTCCTATTTCGGATCAAACACGGTAAGACCTTTTCTTTGACTGATTTACACTTCCATTGCCTCTGCATATGCCAGTGGATGATTACACTGCTAAATCTGAACATTGTCGTTTTTATTGGATTTCTTTTATTTGGATGTCGTTTACACTGAAGTTTAGCATGTTCATTTTAAATTCATTTCATGAAGTTGTATGATTGCCGTTGCATACTTTTCTATAGTTGTTTGAGTTATTAGAAGCTCTTCATACGCTAGTTTTGACAATTTCACTAAATACAATGGTATGAAGCATGTTTTGTTGTTTGAATACTTAGGCAAATCTGAGATGCAAATTTCCTTCCCGACATACAGTAGTTACTTGCTATAAGACATATGTTTACCAACAACTTACACAGAAACAGAACTTTGATGGATGAAAACTAGAATGAAATGTGTTATTAAAGGCCCAACAATGTGTTATTTTGTGATACATTGATAAAGAAATGTGTTTACTCCTGATGTGACAAGCTTTGGTGAGAGATTTCCTGAGAGATTGTTATCACTAAGACCAAGAAACCTCAGCCTCTTTGATTCTGATATGGACTCTGGAATCTCTCCTATACGGCCTGTGTTGGAGAGATCCAATATGACTAATTTCTCCACCTTTTCCCACTCTAGGCTCATTAAGTCCCCACCAATTGGGTGATTGTCGTTATTTTTAATTTGAAAACCTTTAACATATGCTAATAATACATTTTCTTTCATTCTTCAATTCTCAGAAATCTTGCAGCGGGCAATAAGATTGTTGGCTATTAGATCACGTGCAGTGCTTATTGTTTCACTTCCAAATGTTTGTCCATTTTATTTATATATAATAATACAATAATTAGTTAATTTTATATAACTCGTTTGCCTACCTTGTTGTCGTATTGGCTGTCCTGTGGCCGTGTTTAGCTTATTGCCTCCCTTGTTGTTGTATTGTCTCTCCTGTTGCCGTTTATACCTAAGCTTATTACCTACCCTGTTGTCGTACTAGAGTTATCTTATCAATATTATTTGTTGAATAAGCATATTGCAAGAATTACATGGAACAAGTGCTGTCTTTTGATTTGGTGCCCATGGGGAACGACATTAGGCATTGTTTGATGTCCTTTACTGTCATAAGCCAAGTTTGTTGCATTGTTTTGTGCCTCTGCCTAAACCCGGTGGATGATTACACTGCCAACTCCACCCATTCGTCGTTTTCATTGTGTCTCCCTTACTTGGATGTCGTTTACACTAAAGTGTACAGCATGTTCATTTTAAATTCTTGAAATGAAGTTGTGTAATGCCTCTGCATAATGTTGTGTAGTTGTTTAAGCTGCCTCACATCAAATGTTTGCAAGACTATTTAACATTGGCTTATGTAGGTCCAGAAAATGAAGATAAATCCAATGCAATATCTTGTGTAAGTGGTGAGTTTAGTTGTGTGCAAGTGAACACATAACTCAAGTTTTAAATGTCACATCAATCTCTTACTAAACACTTAACTCAAAATTCACATTACAACTCTAATTAAAAATAACTCAAGTTCACTTTTCTTACTCAAATCATAAAATTGGAGTTAGTGAAGTGAACGGGCCCTAAGTTATTTAACTCTAAGACCCAATATGACAACACATTTTTTAATAATAGCAGGGAAATTGTGGAAGAGAACATTCCATTTTATATGAGTTGATTGAACCCTACAAGTATGTTTATATATATATAAATATATATATATATATTAAAATCCCTTATAACATATCTATAAGTTTTTTTTAGCGCTTTAATTAATGGTACCAAGCGAAGCTTCTTAGTAATTTCCCTAGACGCAATTTGTGAAGATTAATAGTAGTGTACGTCTAGCTTACGTTGAACAATGGAGTACCATAGAAAAACTCGTTTTTTTTCTCAAGTCTACATATATAAATAGGGCCACGCGTTGTACCCTTTAACACAAATTAGTACGACGTTGGTCAACTAAATTTTGCAAGCCATTTGTAAATACCATAATTCGAGCCGCAACACAAACACAACTTGTAATTTCATCTTCTTCGTCTTCACTGTTAATTAACATGTGTTCATTAAGCGCCAACGACTTGAACAGAATTTTCAAGAAGCTTGACAAGAACGGCGACGGCCTTGTGAGCGTCGACGAGCTCAATTGGCTTCTAGAAAGGATCGGCGTCGACATTCAGCTTATAAGCCTAACGGAGCTGGAGTCCTTGGTCGGAAAATCGAGCCTCAGTTTTGACGAGTTCTTGTTCTTCTACAAGTCAATATCAAACCCTAACAATGGAGAGAGCAAAGGAGGTGATATTGATCAAGATCAAGATCATGATCATGATCATGATGGAGAGGACAGTGACCTAGTCAAGGCGTTCAAGGTATTCGACATAAACGACGACGGATTCATCTCTTGCGAGGAGCTTCAAAGCGTGCTGATAAGATTAGGGTTGATGGAAGATCATAACAGTAGCGGACGTGATAATTGCAAGAGCATGATCGGTGCTTTCGACGCCAATTCCGACGGCCAGCTCGATTTTGAGGAATTCAAGAACATGATGCTGCTTACTATAGCTAATTCTTAATTAATTAGTGATAATACGCGTGATCACGTGCCTTGAATTGAATTCATCATCTAGAGCGGTTGTGATGGTCAAGTTGGAAGAATATTCTATTGTTCGGGAATTTTGGTCAAATAGTTCGTGCTCTTACGGTTCTTACCTTATAATGGTATACCAAATATACATACATATATATATGTGTGTGTGTGTGTGTGCGTACATATAATTAGATAAATATATATATATATATTATGGTTAGTATTAATCCGGCAGTCTTCGTTGAGCGCTGTGTGTTATATGATGTAAGGATTTGATTATTTCCCAGGAAAAGGAGAGCCCAAATTGTCGTTTTCATACAAATGAAGATTTTCATTGCTAATGAAGAGTATCCAAAACTTAAACGCACATGGTTTGTGTATGTAGAGATCATGTGTAATTTTGTTTTTAGCCGGATAGAAATCTGTGTAAGTCTGTTTTTTCTTTTTTCTCTTGATCTTTTTTTTTTTTTTTTTTTGGGGGGCCGGAAATTTTGTAGTGTAATTGGATGTATTCTCATTGTGTCCTATAATTATACTTGTGTGCTTTCTTGCATTACGTAAATGAATTTCACTTTCACAACTCAGACGTTTGCATACATCGGTTTATGATTCTGATTTCCAAAAATAAGGTACACAGTTCTAGTGTAAATTGTGTATATCTGCTCACAAAATATTATCTATATAATTTGATCATTTCTAGAATATTGCGGCAGGAAATCTATCTCTAGTAACTTGTAGAAGTTAAATCCAAACATATTCGTTTTGGCTTCTAACGAAAATAATGGAACTTTCGTTGTCAGGACCGCCATTTTAAATATAAATTTTGGATTCTTTCGATCGGATGAAATTATCGAATGATATGTTGCCTTGATATCATCAAAGAAACGTATCCAGAATAAAGGCTAGTCATACCCCCAAAAGTATTTATAGAATAAATTCCAATAATTTAAAAGAATTTTCTGGGAGAGAACAAACTAGAGAAATAGATGTGACTAACCAAATTTCCTTAAATAATAAATATTTATAGAGAAGCTGTCTAAAATTTTACTCCAAAAAAAAAGACGTCTATTTATGTTAATACACACTTTTTTTTTCTTTTGAAAGGAAAAAAAATACATATTTTTTTTTAGGTTGAACAGAAATACAATAATCTAATACCGTGTCAAATTTACTAGCAATATAAGTGTTAAATAGATTGTAATATGTCTCTCAATTTAGATCACACTTTTTCAGACTATTAAGGCATGTGTGTCAATAGTTTAAAAAAGAAAATGCCCGCAGCTGATGAGATGGTGTTGTCTGTGCTGCCAAACCCACTGCATTGCCCAAAAAATGGGCGCTGCAGCGCAGCAACTTATTTTGCCAAACCCGCTGCAGCGGGTTTTCTGTAGAAAAAACGTGTTTTGTGTGTGATTTGTGATCTAAAACGTTTCGAACCATTATATCCATTAGTGATATGTTTTCACACATACCTTAACATCTATTAGCAATAGATATAACTGTTGTCATAGATGTATTAATCAATGAAGAGATACCTTTACATTAAAAATGTATTTTTATGAGAATGGTTGTGATGTTTGAAGATGATATGTTCATTTATGAAATGACACTTCTTTTTTTTATTAATTTTCCAAAAATTTTATAGACTTTATCTTTGTTTTGGAACACAATATTATTGCTAGATATTGTGTTCAAGGGTTTGTTGTATTTTGAAGGTAATTTGCCATTAAAACTCATTAGCAAATTTTAAAAAAAGTGATGACAAATGAAACCTTAAAGGAAAGTATTTATATACGCCTCAAACTCATCTTGATTTCTGATTTCTTTTCATTCTTTTCTCCCTCTACCCACAAAATTCTCCAACAAAAAGTAGGCAGAGGAGTGCTGCCAAGTTTAAGAATATAAATTATGTCATCACATATGGTTATCTTCCAAAAATAACTTGTATCGTATGTATTTAATTCGAGTTGAGATGTGACTTCATGTGATAATTTTTTACTATAATAAAAAAGTTAGATGTAACTATTTATGAGAGCTTTTTATTATAACAAAATTTAAATTTTAAATTCAAATCGATAAAATGAACAGAATCTTTTAGCTTTCACGTTTCTATCGACTTAAAGTGGTTCAGATAATAATGCTCGACTTTTGTGCCCCATGACAACGAATGGATCTCCATTTCCGCATTTATGTTTTTGAACCACTACTGACTTGGTCATTTAATATGAGAGAAGTCTTCCCAAGGTATTTGTTAGCTTGCTTCTTTTTTTCTTTTTTTTTTTCACTTGGTTGTTAGTTTGCGCTATTATTAGTGCAAGTTTGAAAGAAAACCCCTTATTTTGTTATTTCGAGATATTTGTTTTTCTTTTGGTGAAATTTGTTATTTCAATATTGAATGCAAGGAGAGTTTTGTATTTTGTAGTTTTAAAAAATAGAGAGGACAGGTTGTAGAAAAAAAAATTAAAACTATAAGATATACCCTATGATATATCCATATATATATCGTGTGTGTATATATATCTCGCGTATGTATGTAAAAATACTATACCTAGTTATTATGTAATACATATATATTTTTTTTTAATTTAGGTTGGGGATTCGAATTCTACACTTTACGACGATGGTAGTATGAATTTTATTGTTGGCTATGCTTGTAACCGCGGGTACCCTCTATTAAAAACATCAATAAAAACTTGTAATAAGAGGTTTTAAGTACATATTCTTTACAATATTTTTCCCAAAGATTTACATATCCCTTCGTTGACCTGGCTTGTTGCCGCGAAATTCCCCATCGACTCAATGAAAAAGGAATGGGGAAAAAGCGTAAAGAATTTTCTAAAATTCTCTGATAGTCTAAAATCTAAATCATAAAATAAACAAATCGTACGTCTTTTAAGAAAAGTATTTATAATTTGTCATACGTTAGTTTGGTTTGAAATATAGTCCACTGTATTACTTACCACTACCATTAATGGAGTTTCCCAGAAAATACTAAGGTGGAACATTTTGTAGAAAAAGGATTGTGATCTTTCAAAGTTCATCCATCATTTTCAGGGATTCTATGCACGCCTAGTTGTTATCGGATGTAGTTGCTTTGAAATTTTGTCATAGACAATTTGGCTAAATAATGTTAGTATACTACGTAGGAAGAATCATTTGCATGACATTTTATGATACGTATACAAAGAATAAATTTTATGATACGCATTCTTATCAGTAGTCCTAACCGTAAACGATGGATACTAGGCGCTGTGCATATTGACCCGTGCAATGCTGTAGCTAACGCGTTAAGTATCCCGCTTAGGGAGTACGTTCGTAAGAATGGAACTCAAAGGAATTGACGGGGGCCCGCACAAGCGGTGGAGCATGTGACATTTTTTAAAATACGAAACGTGATCACAATTATATTAAAATAAAAAATACGTAAAATTAATAATATATGATATTACAAAATTTAGCATCAAATACATTAGTCTCATCGATCCCTTTTTTCCTTTCTGGTCCTGCCGTAGAATTATTCTCAGGAGAAGAATATATAACTAATGGATTTGTTTTGCTTTTCTTTTGTTGATTGATATGTGACAATAAGAGCTTAGCTAGGCGCAATTCCATCTTTATTATATTTTGTATGCTAATTAGAAATTCTTCAATATACTGTTAAATAAAATATCACATTGGAATTGGAAGCCCCTTTTTTTACGTAATAAAATAACAAGTAAAAGTCAACCCATCACATAATTATTTTGTTCTTATTATTATTTTTTCTTTTGATAGAATAGTTTGTTTTTAATTCATTACTTTGCGAAATGAAGAAATCAAAAAGTCTTTGATAGCGATGTGTGAAAGAGCTTTTGTCATCAGAGGGGGAAAAAAACACTTAAAAATTGTCAAAGTTGAAACTTCAGACATTTGTGCGCATGGAAGCAGCTTACGTCTGTGTATGCAAGTGATATTAATTTTCCAAGGAAAAAAATAAAACTGCAGTCAGAAGACAAACCGATCCAATAACATCAGAAGACCAACCAACGCAGCCTACATTCATACACCGAATCACATCTAAAACATGAGTTTTATATACGGTGGGCAAAATACATATTACGATATAAATAAAACATTATTTGGCTGTGGAAATAGAGTAAGTCTAGTGGAAAATTACGGGACATTTAAAAAATTGGAGATCTTTTTTTTTCTCGTGTTTTTTTTTAAAACACTAATTTTTCCTGTTTATCAATCGTCAGATTTATATTAACTCTGATCAAAAGTCAAATCAGATTGAAAAAATAATACAAATATGATAGTTGATAAATAGATAACACTAGTCTTCTATAAAATAAAAAATAAATAAAAAAGAACGCTAGAGAAATTTTTTTTTATTTATTTTATACCATCTGTGTAAAAATAAAAAATAAAAAGAACGCTAGAGAAATTTTTTTTTATTTATTTTATACCATCTGTGTTAAGCATGCAACAAGCAATCTCACTCTCATCTGCCACCTTCACAACATAGACCCTAAAAAGCAATCTCACTCCTATGATCCTATCCGATCGGTGAGATGATTCAATTTCTAATCAGCTCCATATAAAGAAGAAACAATTTAACTATTGAAAAAAAAAAAAAAAAAAAAAAACCGTCATGGCCCCTTAACAAAATTGAAAGTATTTCAGATTTTTTTAATCATCCAATTTGAATTTAGGTTGTATCATAATTTCCTTCGGATGTTTTATCGTTAACTAACTAGTGAAATTGATTGTTATATAGTGTAACCAATTGATGATGAATGAAACACATAGGGGCGTTTCGTTTGGTATGAGGTAATCTCAGAAATGAGAATGAGAATCTTTCAGACTCTCATGTTTAGTATAATTATTAAATTTTTTTAAAACCTAAAGAAGTGAAGCCCATGAATTTCATATTATTATATTTTGGGATAATTCTAAACCCACTTAATAAAGTATTATTTACTTTCCCAAGAAAGTAATATTACGGGAAAAAATTATACATCTGCCATAATATTTCTCTCACCTATCTCTTACTAGACCCATCTCCCCCATCTCTCTCTCGTCCAGACCCAGCACAGCTCTTCCGTCGAGGACGCCGCCGCCGCCTTCCGATCCACCATGCCGTTGCCGGACTTTCCTCTACCGTCACCACTAGAGTATGATTCCTTTTTTCTCCTTTTTTTGTAAAAATTTTTTCTTTCACGATTTGTGTTAATTTTTTTTATCTGGACTTCAATTTCATACCGTCTTCCAATCCGAAATTGTCGTCTCTGAAAATCCCACTTGAGAATCTTAAAGAACCCCTCATGCCTCTTCCGAAGGGGCTCGAAAACCTGAAAAACTCGGAGAAGATGTCATCGGCACTTCTGGGGTTGAACCAAAACGACGTTGGCCCTTCTCCGGTCGAGAAGAACGTCGCTCTGCCGCTGGGTCCTCCGGCGTCTGGCAGCGGCACTTGACCCTTTAGCCCCTCTTCGCCGTATTGATCATGTACTGCTCTTTTCTGGGGATCACTCAAAACCTGTAAATAACAAAAACCCAGAAAAAGATTTAGCTATGAATTCTCATATTCCATATGCAAATACACATATACATATATTACATATATACTGTTGACGGCTAAATTTCGTCAACAAAAATACGACGGGTTACCCACTGGTATCCCGTTGGGTTACCGGTTGGAAATTAACTGTATATTTAAAATTAGGCTGTGAAGTGTTTGTTGTATTTTTGGAAGCATGACTGTAACGCTTGAATGAGAGGACATACAAAATTTATAGTGGTTCACTCTGTTAATGAAGAGTTACATCCACTTGTGTATTGTATTTCTCTTTGGATTTTTACAATTTACATGTAGGTATATTCTCTCTCTGATTCAATACTCAAGAAGTCCATCCTCCTTCGTGTATGGGGCTTTGCCCCTTTTATAGCTCAAGCTTCCTTCGTGAGTGGTTTTCCTTTGTAGGTAGAAGTACTCAAGTGGCCTACCTTTCTAGGCCCAAACCGTAGCCCACTAATCACCTTTTGGACTGTTCACTCAGCCAATTGGTCTTCCATTACGACTCTGTGGATTCCTGTAATCCTTCACTGCCCACTGTAGGGCGGTTTAGGGAATTGCAATTAATGCCCATAGTGTAGACGTCTCCCATCCCTAGACGTAACTTGTGATGTCAGGCTCCTTTCTGAAGAGTATTTCCCTCATTGTCTGTGCTGCGTAGACCTCATGTCCTTCCTGGCAGTCGACCCTTTCCAGACAGGAATTTTGTTGTCATAAGTTCGACGGCACGACTGGTCGACGCCCTAAGTTGGGCCTTTTTTTGCAACGTAGAGGGGAAGCAAGCTTCAAGCGTCGAGGGTTGTCACCTTTTGAGGGAAAATAAGGCCACGTGTCACGCTGTCGCTGTTCCACATGTCACCCGTATTTTCTCACACAACATATACATACCTCATATTTTCTGTCTGAGATTCTTCCATTTTTCTCTTCTTCACTTTTCTTTGGTGGATTATATTCTTCTTCTTCGTCTTCTTTTCTGTGCGTTGCTTGGGGACGGAAGAAAGAGTGACTTGTCGTTTCTCTTCCTATTTGTGTTTCCTGTCGTTTCCTTGTAATATGCATTTGTTTGTGGTTTGGCAAAACTGTTGGAGCTAGTTTGAAATGTGAGTATTGGTAAGTCTTGTCGTTCCTCTTTCTAGATGATAATTTGTTAGTTTCGAATAGCCTACTTCTACTTCCGAAATATATTGTATATCTAGCAGTTTCTCTTCTTCTTGGATGAATTGAACTTTGTAATCAGTATGCTTATTTCTTTTTTTCCCATTAATGAGCATATATGGATCTTCTTCTATTGGAACAAAAAAAAATGAATTGTGGCTATTTTAGTTCAATATATGGAGATGTTAAATGCAATGACATTTTTGTTCATTCTTATGATATTTGTAATTATTAGTAAAAGACGTTTGCGTAAAAATAGATGGGGTGAGAGTTCTTATCACCGACATCATATACGCTAACTAAATTACCATCGACTGATACATGAGAGTAACTTAGCATGTCTTGAAAGCACTCGTATGGATAGGAGAACATTTGCTATCCTATGTAACTACCTTAAAGCCATTGGCAATTTGAGGGGAACAAAAAATATGGATGTTGAAGAATTGGAGCTATATTCCTACATATATTAGCTCATGATAAAAAAAAAATAAGATTATGAAACGCTTATTTGCACGCTTAGGTGAAACAATAAGTAGACAATTCAATATTGTCTTAAAAGCGGTGTTACGTCTCCATGAAGTATTGCTAAAAAGGCCAGAGCCAGTTCTAGAAAATTCTACGGATGAAAGATGGAAATGGTTTAAGGTGAAAATTTTAAATATCTCTAATTCTTTATTATGTGTATGTTAATATGTGGTAGGTATGTGGGCTAAAATTATTATTTGTGTTTTAGAACTGTTTGGGAGCACTTGATGGAACATACATCAAGGTCAATGTGTCTGCAGCGGACACGCCTAGGTACCGTTCCAGAAAGGGTGAAATTGCTAACATATTGAGACCCTTATTATTTGATAATTTTATGGACTACTTGTTGTGTTGTTTTTTATACTTTTTAAAATATTAGTGCTAATGTTATGGGCTAAATATTTGAAAAATATTTTACACTTTTTAAAACATTAGTGCTAATTGTAATTCATTTAAAAAATATGTTTTTTTAATTTACAACATTCTCATGTACAACCAAACATAGTAATGTAATATTCTTGAGAATTTGAAAAAAATTTCTACATGAAACCAACACAACAATATATTATTTTTGAGAATCATATTAACCTCTGTTACTTTTTTAAGAATATGATTTCTACTTACCAAACGCCCAATATAAGTTTGCATGTTTTAAGTTCTTCACCAGCTGAAGCACGAAGCCCAGTAGGCCTAGTACTATATTGCTCCTTTGACATCTTTCAAAGAAGAGGCTTTTACACGCACATGTTTGGTTTTTTGTTCTTGTTTTTGTTTTTATTTTTATTTTTAATATATATATATATATATATATATATATATTTGCTACTCAATGCACACGTGTTTGATATACAAATATCACGTGATCTTCAACAAAGTTCAGGCTTAGTTTTTGTATTTTGTGCTCGCTTTCATGCATGAAGCATATGTAAGATTATGATAATGAGATTTTACGGTAGAGTATTAAAAAAAAAAATCTTATTGATGGTATTGTCTTTGAACTGTGTATCAAATTTTGAAGTTTGGCATATATTTGTTTTGTTTTGATGTAATTTTGATCAAATTTATCACTCATTCGCACACTATAACAGAAACAAAAAAAAAAAAAAAATTATAACGAACTTTGCTTGTTTTTCTATATATAAGGGCTCTCCAATAATAACTGTCGGTTATTTTCAATAAGATTTTGAGTTTAAATCAATCCTGAATCTGTAAGCCATTCTCTATATATTTTCGAAACTTACAAAGAAGGGCTCTCGAGTAAAGAGGCAAATTGATCATGTGAAGAAAGACACATATATAGTTGCATTCTTGACTCCATATATCTATTAATTTATCGAACCCTTTTCCTTTTTCTGCACCCTTTCTCTTCTTGGGGGTTAAAACATATTTATCAGCTTCATTAATATTATAGGCCAACTTGCACGAATGATCCATAAATAATTAATCAGAAAATACGTTAATTGGACATTTCTATAAGAGGAAAAATAGCATTCTCTCTATCTCAAATGCCATCAAAACATTTATATTTTATAGTATATGTATCTTTCATCCACAAGATCCTTACATGGTACGATACAAGACAAATAATGAAATAATAAAGTTTTTTTTTTCACTATCTTTGTAATATATAGAAAGGTTATTGTTAGACGATTTTTCGGAGTTAGTAGAAAATGTAATAAGTTTTCAAACGATCTAAGCGTACTTTAGGGAAATTACCTGAGCGCACGCTAGGAAAATTACCTGAGCATACGCTAGGGTAATTATCTGAGCGTGCGCTAGAATAACTATCCGAGCGTACACTCAGGTAGGGGAGAAGTTGGAAGATCAAGAGTTATCAAGCATAAATGTCATATAATGGTCGACATTTAAAAGCATTCAATGACTTAAGTTTAATTTGTTTATTAATTGTTTGTAATATCCAAAAAGGTAAAGAGCCTTATTGTATTAAAGAGAGAATAAACTCTCAAATTAATGGGATGAATTAAACTTCTAATCCTTAATGTGCTATAAATTCCTTTGGTTTAGACACTCATTCTTAAATATAATTACCTTGTGATTGTTTTCACTTTGCTCTTATTGTTCTTATTATTCTTCTAATGTTCTTTGTATTCTGTGAGTGTTCTTCTAATTTTCTTAAATAATTTATTTATTCAATTTAAATTATTAGTGACAAAATTTTACTCCAACAGTTATTACATATTTTCCCTTAAAAAAGTGAAAGGTTATTGCATATATCTATATTTTAATTAACATATATTCATTCGCATTTATCTCTTTTAAAACACCAAATAAACTATTACGTGTCAAACATAATTTAATGATAAACATCACAAGCCACATTATTACATGCAACCACACATAATAGATAAAAAAAAACAAGCACATTGGAGACAATAATCTCGAAAATATGATTTTAGACACTAGAGATTAATAAATGAAATGAATCGTGCATAAAACAATTTTAGAGAAATCCGGGGTGCATTTAGCAATTAACTTAAAATTAGGACGTCCCTTGGCGGTAGAAATCCGGAATGCACGTGAGGCACACGCTAATAGATATTCCCAGCTAAAGTACAACCAATCCTACGTTATCACATTTTTCCATGAAATTAAAAAAATTAAATTTAATATATAATATTCCCCGGTTTTCCGCCCTTAGCGTGTTTTCGTGTACGTACTACTACCTCCTCAGTCCTTCTGTTTTGCTTTTGTCTTTCACTTCTTCGCTGATTACGATGGAATTGGATGTATTGGAATTAAAATTCCGATTCCGATTCTGAAATCTTCCCACTCACGGAAAAGTCGTTTTCTTGAATCTTTCCTTATTTTCCCGGGAAAATTACAACTGTCTCACCCGCCAACCGACCATGAAGTCCGTCGCCACCACCGCCACCGACATTCTGAAGACTCCGGCTTTCGTCAAGGTCACCGCCATTGTCCTCATTTCCTTCTCTATCTTCTTCCTCGCCAACCATTTCTATTCCAAATCTTACTATCCCCTCGCATTCTCCTTCTTCTCCTCCTCCGCCTCCGCCACCGGCGGATTCTCTCCTTCCTTCAATTCCAATTCTGTCTTGCCGCCACCTTCTCCGGCGGTGTCTCCTCCTTTTCCTCCTCCTCCGTCTCCGATTCCGCCGCCGCCGCCGCCGCGAGGGGTGAAGAGGATGGGGGTAATCGACGAGAACGGGGCGATGTCGAATGAGTTCGAGGTCGGTGAGTACGATCCGAATTTGATCGAGGATCTGAGGAACTTGAGCGGAGGTGATGAGAGATTGGGCGACGCGGGTGGCGGAGGCGGCCAGGTTAAGGAGACGAAGGTTAGGGTTGAGAGGTTTAAGGTGTGTGTTCAGAGCATGGCCGACTATATTCCGTGTTTGGATAATGTGGAGGAGATAAATAGGTTGAAATCTACCGAGAAAGGGGAGAAATTCGAGAGGCATTGCCCTGGTGAAGGCAAAGCTTTGAATTGCGTTGTGCCAAGACCCAAGGGCTACCAGATTCGCATCCCTTGGCCGCAAAGCAGAGACGAGGTAAATTATAGCCAAAGCTTGTTAATTGCGATTCCAATCTTTGGATTGATTTTCTTTTTCTTTGGATGATTACATTAAAAGTAGTTAGTTTTATTTATTTATCATTTCTTTTCATACTTAATTCAATGGCTCTTCTCTACTTGCTGAAGAACTCGGTATTCATTCATTTTAATTAGTTATTGAAGTACATATGATGAGATTGTTTGGTGACATTTGCTCTTAGGTTTTATGAAATACATTCCAAGGAGTTATATACACATAATCTCTTAGATGTAAATCAAGATTAAAAATTTGCAGGTATGGTTCAGTAATGTTCCCCATACACGTCTGGTTGAAGACAAAGGTGGGCAGAATTGGATTGCAATAAAAAAGGACAAATTCGTTTTCCCGGGAGGTGGGACACAATTCATTCATGGGGCAGATAAATACTTGGATCAGATTTCAGAGGTTTGATAATTCTATGATTCTCAGTAACACTAAATTGATGTAGCTTTCTTTCACTACATTTATCATTCTCTATAAACGAATGGCAGATGGTTCCTGAAATTGCATTTGGCCACAAGACACGAGTTGCCTTAGACATTGGTTGTGGAGTGGCAAGTTTTAGTGCCTTTTTGATGCAGCGCAACGTGACCACTCTGTCAATAGCACCAAAAGATGTTCATGAGAACCAGATCCAGTTTGCATTGGAGCGTGGTGTGCCTGCTATGGTTGCAGTGCTTGCTACGCGACGGTTGTTGTATCCAAGCCAGGCTTTTGACTTGATACACTGTTCAAGATGTAGAATTAATTGGACCCGTGACGGTAATGTTTGTTCTTATTTGCTCGTTTTTTCATTCTGAAAACTTTTCCTGGTTTTGAATGTTTGAGTAGGAAGCTAAGCATAATAAGTTCCTCAGCTCTCAGATGCACCTGTCTATATTAAACGATTTTAGCTTTCTGAATGCTTGAGGCCGGATAGCTCAGTGGGATCTACATGAAATTCTTGCAGTTATTAGTTGTTTAAATGCTTTTTCCTTCTAAATTCATTTGCATTTAATACGTATTAACTAAATCCATTTGACGGTAAGACCTTTTTCTCTTTTGGATGCTTGTGATGTAGATGGAATTTTGCTTCTTGAGGTTGACAGGTTATTAAGGGCTGGAGGATATTTTGTTTGGGCAGCACAGCCTGTTTATAAACACGAAGAGAACCTGCAACAACAATGGAAAGGTAACCTATTAAATTATTTTCAGCTGTGCATCTTGGTCTTTTACATGTTCCTTTGGCATAATACTGTCTCAGAGTGTACCAGTTATTTTTTCACATCAGTATATCCATCAGAACCACTATAGTCTTCTTTGGCATTTGATAAGCTGATGAAAAAATGCTAAACTAATGAAATTATTACCTTTTAGTTAAATTCATTTAGGGGTTTCATTAATTTACAGAAATGGAAGACCTAACCAGCCGCATATGTTGGAAACTTGTAAGGAAGGGAGGATATATTGCTATATGGCAGAAGCCTTTGAACAACAGCTGCTATGCTAATCGTGCTGCTGGAGTGCAGCCTCCATTATGTGATCCAACTGACGATCCAGATAATGTTTGGTATAGGGCTTCATGCCTTCGACAACTTGATTTAACAAATTTTCTTCTATTCATATAATTCCCTAGTCTACTATGAGTGGTGCATGATGTGATTGTCATGGAATAGGTGGAAACTTGTTGGCTAAGTGTAATAGAGGTTGGCTCTTAGTAGTACCTCCGTCCTGCAGATTTGATTGAAATTATTTAAATCACACAGTTTGCTTGAAGGCAACCTGCGGCTTCCTAAATTACTAATCCTTTGATCAAACTTTGTAAATGACTACATACTTTTGTGACAAAGCATGTATGCATCCGTTATTTATTCTGCAGTCGTGCATTTTTTGCAGGTATGTCGCTTTGAAGCCATGCATCACTCGATTGCCTGAGAATGGTTACGGTGCTAACCTTACTGCATGGCCTGAACGCATTCATAACCCACCAGACAGGCTTCAGAGCATATCGATGGATGGCCACATATCCAGGAAGGAAATCTTCCAGGCAGAATCAAACTACTGGAAGGATATCATAAATGGTTATATTCGTGCTTACCACTGGAGAGATTTGAATTTCAGAAATGTGCTGGACATGAGGGCTGGATTTGGAGGGTAAAAGATACATATACCAGCTATCTTGTTTAGTCAAATACCCAAGCCCTTTTTTCTTTTCCTAATAAATGTTCTTATTGGAAATCTTTTAATTGTGGAAGGTTTGCGGCAGCTTTCCATGACTTCCAATATGATTGCTGGGTTTTGAATGTTGTCCCTGTTAGTGGGTTCAATACCTTACCTGTTATCTATGATCGTGGACTTATCGGAGTTATGCACGACTGGTATGGGCAATGCACCTTGTAAATCTGTTTTCCGATCGTCATGGCTGGATAGTGTTGGAAAAATATGATCGAAACATGTAATTTTTCGTATATCATTGCTTGTACTTTTAACAATGATCTTGACTCCTGTTTGTTGAATGGAAGGTGCGAGCCATTTGACACCTATCCAAGGACATATGACTTGGTACATGCTTCTGGTCTCTTCTCAATTGAGAAAAAGAGGTATAGTTGTTGACCTCTTACTCATGCTAATTTCTTGATTTATATGTACGCATTACGCTACACCCTTCTTTCTGTCCTTCCCTTAAAACTTGTATTGGATGACTACAGATGTAATATAACAACCATCATGCTCGAGATTGATCGGATCCTGAGGCCCGGTGGCCGCGTATATATACGTGATTCAGTATCTGTGATAAGTGAACTCCACAAAATTGCAGGTGCCATTGGTTGGGTGCCTGCATTGCATGACACAGGTGAAGGTCCTTATGCAAGCTGGAAAATCTTAATTGGCGATAAGCGGTTGTGACAGTCTATTGATGGAAATTATGTTCGATGTCTATGCTGATGGTATCCCTAATACTTTTTTTTATTTTTTGCTAACTAATTGTACGCCATTTTTTTTCCTTTTTTTAATTTTTTTTGTTTGTATGTTAGTCAACAATAGGCAATGTTCGACACATTCCTACCAAAAAGAAAAAGAAAGAGAAAGAAATGGCAAAAGGAAAAAAAAATACCATAGTGATAGATTGTTCAACGTTTATATCAATAATGAGAACGTTTTGATAACCCTTTTTCTTAATATGTAGTTTTTGCATTGAGATGCTTTGGTTTCAATACTCGGTGTTTAGTTTGTCTCAGCTTGAAACTTTGATGGAGTTGACCACAATTCCGACTGAACCTTCTCCCTTGTTCAATTCCTGAGGGATCAGATCTCAGAACAGTCTAAAAGCACAGAACAAATGTCTTGTTCTCATAAAACAACAACAATTTATGCACCAAGTGGTAGGAAATTTTTGCAATTTGTATATCCACCAATTAGGAAACGTAAGTCATCTATATTTGATATAACATTAGAGAACAAAAGTACTGGTCAAAATCCACATCCCAAACTGGAGAACAATATTTTACTTTCAAAACCAGCATAACAAAAAAATCGTGATCCTTGCTTGGCTATGTCTTCTGGGAAGAATCCTTATGGGCTGCTGTATTGACCTGTTTAGAGAGGTAGGCTTCATAGATCTCCACAACAAGCCGTGGATCTTTCGCCTTAAGCTCCAAATACTCCTCTCTTTTAGTAAGCTTGTCCATGTTGTCTGTAATCATCGACAAGGCCGCTTCGAGCATATGCTTAGCATTGTGCTGCTGTGCGAAGGCGTAGCTCATAACTGAATTATCCCAGTTCAGTTTGGATACAAGGAACCTCTCACAATATGTCTTGAGATGCTTCACCTGATACTTCTCAGCCAGTACTAAAAGGTCACACGCCATCTGCTCATCGAGGCATGCCTCAGCAGTGTACAAGTAGTTAACAAAGGCGCGAAGGGCCTCGTATGATGCATCGCTTATCTTTATGGTGCCACTCCGGCTTTCTTCCATCTCGTTCTCGAGCATGGCTCTGAAGACGGGGGAACGGCTCACCTGGGTTACATGTCGAAATGCACATTAGATGTCAAAAGCCAATATAAACAGAATGCTATGTTGTAAGTTCATCTGCTCCAGAGAGGAAAGCAATGCAAAGAAGGTTAGGTATACTTTTCTCATACATCAACTATGGAATCAAGCCAATTACTAAGCCACAATATCAAAACCTGAAGAAAGAAAGTAGTATTTGACTTAAGACCACGGAAAGCACCATATCTGCCAGTGTTACAGATGCTACTAGAATATTCTCTCTCGCATAAATTTCGATTTCCATCTTTTTTGTCATGAAGTAAATAGTCAAATCTCGTAGCAAAACTCTAATCCGAAGTTCCAATTCTAAACTCCTCTGACCACTAAACAACATTTTCTTCATGAACAATAACAATTTTGCCCTACAATAAATCTACTTCGATTTAAGGCTTACTTAACCAACATGCAACCAAAATTTTCAATCTACAAGCAGTAGGATCATGATTTGGAGCTTTGAAATAGTATAATCGATCACAACAATCAAGACCCAATTCAATCTTGCAGACGAAATTAAAATCCAAAGCACCCAAACATAAAAAATCAAAGCCAAGCCTTTGATCAAACATTAATCAAATACAGACGGAAGAAACAAAAACATCGGAAAGTGGGCCCCACTGACCAGGACGGCCTTATGAGCGGGAATGGGGACGGCGGCGGAGGAGTCGGAGGAGTCATGGGAGGCGACCAAAACGACGTCGGAGAAGCAAGGGGGGAGAAAGCGAGAGGCTTGGAGTTGGAGAGGGGAATCGATTGGGGAAGAGAAGCGGAGAAAAGCGACCTTGGCTTTGAGATCGTCGATCTCGCGCTTGAGCTCCTCCTCGGTCTCGTTGGCTTCCTCGTAGCACTCCTTGCACGTGCCGGCGTCACGTGCGTCGTAGTCCTCCTGGCACGATATGCACCTCATCATCTCCGCCTCCGAGTCCGTCGTCTCCATCTCCGATTCCGCCGAGTAATGGTGGTGGTGGTGTCTCCTCACTGACGTGCAACGGCGTCGTTGCATTGTCCTCGCCTCTCCAAAGGTTTTGTTGGGTGGGAAGGTCTCAGAGACAAGAAAACCATATGATCGGATTTAATTTCCAGTAATCAATCAATTTTTACATTGACAAGCAAATAAAAGAAAGAAAAAAGGAAAAAAAAAATACTTTACTTAATAAAAAAGGAGAGAAAGAAAATAAAAACTTAAAAAATGATGTTCATGTCGTTCGATTTACCAGAATGTCATTTCTTGGATTATGATTTTGGTGTCCTTCATCCCTATGATGACACGTACTTTTTCTTGTCGTTTGGTATTGTTTGCAAAGCTTTGACATTATTGCTTTTTTTTTTTTTAATAAAAAATATATATTGTTTCTTATAAAATATATATATTGTTTAATAATAATAATAATTTTTGACGTAGAGTTTATCATTTAACTGTCAATAAACGAAATTATCATATTTGAATTTTGGTGAACACACTTACGCATTTAATCACGTGGGGTTGTTTAGTTGGGAGATTCGTACTCCGATTCGAATTATGATTCATGATTCATTACAGTATTTTTTCTCATAAAAAATACACGTAAATAAAAAATTATTCTAATCTTATGATTTTAATCTATGAACTAAACGTCTCCAAACAACTATTCTTAAGGATTTTTTTTTCCGCTTTGGATATAAAGTTTACTTTTAGTTGTTTTAATGATCAGAAAGTTCACCTTAGTTAAATGATTATTAATGTATATATTTATAGCTCCCACAAAAATAAGGAGTTGTGCCGTGGCTATAAAATATGAATTTGATATATTTAATAAGGATATAGAAACAAAATTAATCCCAAAAAGGGGCATGATAAATTGAGTTGGTAAGTAATACTACCTCTATACTTTCTAAGATAAGACCTAATCCCATAAATACTAAAAGAAAATCATCTATCACACGTAATGTATGTATGCATTTGATCGATTGAAAGTAGATTATAAGTTTGATTTTTTAAAATGCTAGCATCATTTTGTCACTTTTTACATTTATTTATTATTTGACACGTAAATTTTATCATCTCATTTTCTATTTAAATAATAATATATTATGTTACGTGTAATTGTGAATGTAAAAATGACAAATAGAATGAGAGAAATGATAATGAATAAGGTCTCGTTCATTTCACCGATTCGAGTTTTCAATTTTAAGTTTTTACAGTAAAAAGCTCTCAAAAAATATAATATTCAACTTTTTTTGCTAGAGTGAAAAGTTTTCAAAAAATGTCACATCTCAGCTCGAATTGAAAACTCGAATCCGCAAAGTAAACGAGAGTTACGAAAATAAAAATAACCCATTACATTACAAATTTAGGAAAAAAAAAAAAAAAAAAAAAAAAAAAAAAAAAAAAAAAAAAGAACAGAAAAGAGCAGTGGAAAGGCGCAGAGAGTCGTCGCAGGCTCCGACTCTTGTTTTTTAAAATTCAAAGAAAGTCACTCCTCCAGGATAAGACCCTTCCCTCGTCGAACCAAGGTGATTACAAAAGCACTACCTCCCGCTTCTCCGCTTCTTAGGGCTCATATTTTGGGTTCTCTTTAAGGTTAGTTACTTTCTCTCTCGCTTTTTTCCAGATCTTGTTTTCGTTATCTTCTGTTTGGCTCCTGAGAAAATGCTCCAGAAAACGTGAAATAATTTGTTGAAATCCCAATTCCTCTGTACTGTCTCTTCTTCTATCGGAAAGGAGATTGCCGTGTCTATTTCTCTCGATTTTAGTTGAATTTCTTTCTCGCCTACAAAACCTAAGCGACAGAAATAATTTGGGTTCTTAAATTTGCGCTTTTCGTCATTTCTTCTCTGTACGATTTCGCGAATTACAAATTGGAGGGATTTCGCTACAGAAATTGAACATTCCATTGCATTCACACGTTTTTCATACCGTATTGGTGTTGTTAAATTCACGACAGTTTCTGAATTTTTGGTGTCTAGATAGCGCTGTGAAACCCTCGTTTCTTGTTGCGAAGTTGGAGGAAATTAGGGTTGTTTACTTTTGAAATGGATGCTGAAGAAGGAACGAGCAATGGTGGCGGTACAGAATGCTCCGAGGCGCTTCAGTGCTTGAAAAGTGACGAAGTTGTTATTGGGATTAGAGAAATGGATGTTGAAGAAGGAACAAGCAATGGTGGCGATACAGAATGCTCTGAGGCGCTTCAGTGCCTGAAAAGTGGCGAAGACAATAATGGTATTAGAGAAATGGATGTTGAAGAAGGAACAAGCAACGGCGGCAGTGCAGAATTCTTGGAGGCGGTTCAGTGCTTGAAAAGTGAAGTAGTCAATAATGAGATTTCAAAAGTGGATGTTGAAGAAGGGAAAAACACTGTTGGCGGTGCAGAATTATCCGAGGTGCCGCAGTGCTTGAAAAGTGACGAAGTCGGTAATGGGATTAGAATTGGGGTTGGTGATGACATTGTAGGATCAAGCTCGGGTTTGAGAAGTGACGAAGTCAATAATGGGATTAGATTTGGGGTTCAGGCTGACATTGCAGGATCAAGCTCGGGCTTGAAAAGTGATGGAGTCAATAATGGGATTAAATTCAGAAAGGAGGCTGACGTTGAAGGTATTAGAGAAATGGATGTTGAAGAAGGAACAAGCAGCGGCGGCAGTGCAGAATTCTTGGAGGCAGTTCAGTGCTTGGAAAGTGAAGTAGTCAATAATGAGATTACAGAAGTGGATGTTGAAGAAGGGAAAAACACTGTTGGCGGTGCAGAATTATCTGAGGTGCTGCAGTGCTTGAAAAGTGACGAAGTCGGTAATGGGATTAGAATTGGGGTTGATGATGACATTGTAGGATCAAGCTCGGGTTTGAGAAGTGACGAAGTCAATAATGGGATTAGATTTGGGGTTCAGGCTGACGTTGCAGGATCAAGCTCGGGCTTGAAAAGTGATGGAGTCAATAATGGGATTAAATTCGGAAAGGAGGCTGACGTTGAAGGATCAAGCTTGGGCATGAAAAGTGAGGAAGTCAATAACGGGATTGTATTTGGGTTTAGGGCTGGCGTTTCAAGGCAGAGCTCAGGGCACAGCTCAGGGCACAGTGAGGGTTTCCAAACTTACAAGAGGCGAAAGCATGTAAATTCCAGCAACAAGAGCGTATTAGAGGATGATGGAAGAGCTTATGCAAAAGGTGCCAGTCAACTGGTGCACCAGGTTTGCATTCTTTTCATGTTTGTTCCTATAAATTAAGTCATATACAATACGACCAGTTTCTTTACTATAATGGAGATAATCTTGATCATGGTTGAGGTTGTGATTATATATGTACACATGCGTGTGCACTCACTTATGTAGATGAATTTGTTCATAGAGATGCACATATACAAATATACTAGATATTAGTTAGGAAATACCTTAGATTATGTGCAAAATTTGTTTTTTGATGTTTGTTGGGCGGAGGGCAGTTGATGTTTTTAGTTCCATTCTTGACTAAGCTTAAGCTTTATTTGATTTCTTCCAGCCCATAAAAGACACACAAGGCGTTGTTTTTGACAACAGTTCTTGTGAGCAAATCTGCCTGCCTACAGACAGTTTAGATGGTTGTTCACAAAAGCCATGGAAATTGTTTTGGAACGTATGTAATATTAGTTATGAAATACCTTAGATTGTGTGCAAAAATTTTTTGTTGATGTTTCTTGGGCCGAGGGCAGTTGATGTTTTTAGTTCCATTCTTGACTAAGCTTAAGCTATATTTGATCTCTTCCAGCCCATAAAAGATACACAAGGCGTTGTTTTAGACAACGGTTCTTGTGAGCAAATCTGCCTGCCTACAGACAGTTTAGATGGTTGTTCACAAAAGCCATGGAAAATTGTTTTGGAATGTATGTATCAGTCATTAAGTGACAATGACGGTGGTATACAAGGATCCATTCGAGATGTACTTGAATCATATCCAGGAATGGGTAGTACAAAGAGAGCTAAGGTTTGTGCCTTGACAAGAGTCCATGTTTTGATAACTGGTTGGTATTTGTTTCAATCTATTTACGTTTTACGTGATTATTGTTTTATTTGTGGTTTATTTACAGGAATATGATCACCGTGATGAGAATAGATGGAGGTGTCCTTCACCAACACGGCATCCCTTAAATGGATTTCAGAAAGAAGCTAGTGGGCATCCGGGTGTTTTATCTAATGGAAATTTGGATAGCTTAAGCCATGACACGGTCACTGACGTCTGTCGGCATGTCTTTTTGAATATTTTATTATCAGAGAATTTTGCCTCACTCTGCAAGCTGCTGTTAGATAATTTCCAAGGAATCAAGATTGACAGCTTTTTTGACTTGAATCTTATAAACTCAAGAGTGAAAGATGGTGTTTATGACAATTCACCTGTGCTTTTCCTCACAGATATTCAACAGGCAAGTTGGGACAATATTAATTATTTTGTTATTATTATTTTTTTTTCATTTTAGCATTGTTCTAAATGAAAACGTATCCAATGCCTTTCCAAAATTTCTCTTAGCATGAGGCGGTTGTCCTCAACAATATGTTGAAGAGACTAAATGCTCTATTTATTCAAGTGTAATATAGATGCTTCCCATATGTGGTATTGTCTATACTAATTTCTTCGTTCATATTTTCTTTTTTTCATTCCCGTTTTTACTTCTCTCGTACATGAATAAATATGCATGAATTCAGATTTCAGTCTGTTATGTTGAATAGAGTACATTGGAAGTTGCAGAGGTTGTTATTAATTCCTTGTTTTCATATGACCCTTCTGATATTAGTTTTTCATTGTTTCCTTTTTCTTGGTGATGTTTCTCTGCATTGGCATGGCATGTAGGTAATAGGTTGCCACTTTTCCTTTTCCTTTTCTGATATAATGTAGGTAATGGTTGCTCTTTCATATTTGTTATTTTGCATTGCCTAGGTTATTGCATGTTCATTAGAATGTTACTGACTGATAACTATATTCATGTAGAGGCTACCATGTAGTATTAGTATATTTTTTGTTTCACTGAGATCAAATGTTGTTTGCTTGTTTATCCGTATGTTTGAAACTTAATCCATTTCCAGGTGTGGGAAAAACTTGAGGGAGTTGGTGCTGAGATGATTTCTCTGGCAAAAAATCTCTCTGACATTTCAAGATCTTGTTATAATAAACAGGTAAGACACATCAGTTGAAGACATTGCTATGTTACTCTATGTACTGTGTTATCGTTTTCACGTTTCTTCAACCAGTTTATAACTTGACAGTTTTTGCTTGATACGCTCAAAAGATTATTTTGTTTCCCTCCCAAGTGGGAGGTTTAGTAACTTTAGTTCACAGAACATTTGACGATGAAGAGTAAAAGAGTTACCTTAGTTAAACTGCAAAATGAAAAGTAAATTTCATAAATCAAGCAAGCATGCGTAGGTTTGGTGGATTCGGCTGCATTGGAATTTGAAAATAAAAATTCTGGAAAAGGTTTAATTGATGGTCAATCTTATCACGGTGTATGCTGTTATGTTTCAAGTTAATGCAATATAGATGGTCAATCTTATAATGGTCTATTCTGTTATGTTATGTTTCTTTTCTATTCTCTTTTATGTTTTGCTTTGTGATGAGATGGAGTTACCTGCCAAGTGAAAACTCTGAAACTAGTCCCATTGGTTGTTTTTCTTTTCTTTTTTATTTGTACCAAAAGTGCCTTACTCATTATAGTTAGTATTTTGGTTTCGAAATTAGTATGATATTTATTTTGAGTGTATTAACCAGTTCTGCACCTGGGAATCCGACTCTCACACTAAGCTAGAGAAAGGAGAGGGTTATAGTGCATACAAGGCTTGCACTTGTAGTCAGTGTGGACTCAAGGCTGATGGGAGGGACTATCTAGTTTGTGATTCATGTGAAGAGATGTACCATGTATCGTGCATTGAACCAGCCGTTAAAGAGATCCCCCCAAAAAGTTGGTATTGCGCCACCTGCATTGCAAATGGAATTCAATCACCACATGAAAATTGTGTGGTGTGTGAAAGGCTCAATGCTCCAAAGACTGCAGTCAAGGTTGATTATGACAGTTCTTACACAAATGAAGAGACGCTTAATGAGTTGGGAGAGAGTTCAGACTGTGGTACGGATGAAGAAGGGTTTCAACCATCAAAAAGGAGCGAAAACTTGGGCCAATGTAAAATTTGTGGCTGCGAGATACAAGATGGTGAAGAGTCAAAGATATGCAGTAATAACGGCTGCCCTGGCGGATGCTACCACGTTAGGTGCCTGTCAAAAAAGCAGCTAAAGTCGTATAGTCCATGTTGGTACTGCCCTTCTTGCCTGTGCAGAATTTGTCTCGCTGATAAAGATGATGATAAGATTGTTCTATGTGACGGCTGTGATCATGCATACCATATATATTGCATGAAACCAGCACGGAGTACTATTCCAAAGGGAAAGTGGTTTTGTGTACCATGTCAAGCACAACGTGATGCAGTACGGAAGGCAAAGAGGAAATTCGAGAATCGTGAAAACAAACAGAGAAAGAAAGCCAATAAAGGATTGGGGGCATTTGCAAATCTTGAAAACAGGTGGAATAGTGAAGGCATCATGGAATCAGATAAAGGTGGAGGAGCAATGGAGATGCTGATATCTGCAGCCGATACTTTAAACAATGAAGAAAAATTGGCTGGCATTTTAGACAGAAGCTGCAAAAAAATATCCGGATAGAGAACAGATTTTGAATCCCGTCAAGTAATATCTGACTTTTTAGGCGTATATCCTAATGCTAATGATTTTCCTTTTTGTTTCTTTCCTCATTGATTTCGTTTTTGCCTCATTAATTCAGGGACTGATATTTTGGTAGGTTGTAAACTGGTATCGCTTCGCTGACCTTTTGATACGTATCTCAGGGAAAGCCATGATTGTAAAGGCTGTATACGTACTTTTGCAATGCCCCTTGTCTAAAAGTGAAGGGATTGAGAATCACTATATCAGTCTGGTAGAGTTTTAACCTTTTTGGCAACCATTGTTGAACATGTTTGTAGTCAGTTTTTACCCATGCAAGTACATATGTTTCAAGAGGTATCAAAAGTAATATGTTTTTCAGTCATGTACTCACGTTGTAAAATGCAGAAAGTGTTACGAGACAGCTGTTCTTGGTAATCAAATTGAAGCATTTTTTTTTTCGCGGCACCTTTCTTCTATTATATATCTTATAATTGCTTCTTACATGGTATGCCTGCGTAATTGCTCGATGGAATCTTTAATATCTTTGTAGCTATTCTCGTTGATCCCATCTTCATTTCCAAACAGCAACATGCCCCCTGTATTTGCAATATACTCTTTTTGATAGTTTTCTTTGAAAAATGAAGAATTGAGAGTGCATGAATCTAAACCTTATAAAACCGTAGTTAGAATGTAAGATATTAGTGGCCCGTTTAGTTTAGTGATTTTGATTTTAAATTCAAATTTTGTAAGAGAATCATTAGTAGGAATTTTTTTTTATTTAAATTTTGTATAAGAAAAGTACTATAAGAGAATCAAATTCATACATGAAATAAACGTTCCTAAGATAATATAGCAGTGCATAAAGATTTCCAATTTAACGAACTACATGCACGTCAGTCGTCGAGCATAAAAGCAAATACCTATGAGCAATGACCACCATCAGAGCAACACACAGCGACCTTAGTTTATGTGGGATATCAGATTTAAAAATAATTACACTTGCATGTAAATTTTACAAATAGGAAATTTCTAGGGGTACAGACTACCAAAAAAAAAATTAACGTAACGTCGTGATGTTCTTAAACCCTATAAAATTATCATATTGATGTTCTTAGGAACGGTTTTTACGAGGAAAAGAGGTGTGAATACTAGGATCTAGATTTTCTTTTCCATTTTAGACCTTTATCACAAAAAGAAAAACCAAATAGCCAAATGTAAATGATGAACTTAGAACAATCAACAGATTAGGCTAGGAGCATGGCCTTTCCTCTCATGCAAATCGCTCATCCCTGTCTCTGTCCCAGTCAAGGCGGCCAAATATTTACGCCCGAAATTCCTCTGTTTATGGCTGCCAAATCCTGATGAAACATTTGAAAAATAAAATCCTCATTTCCATTATCTTTTCAAAAGATTTCAGGAGCTTTCAGACTCATTGCCAACCGCATAACGATTTGTAGTTGTGCTCAAGCCTGATGAATGCAGCTGCTTCCGCCTCTTTACAAGGTGTAACGCACTACGCCTGTCAACTTGTGCCTCCTCAGAATCAGGCTGCATCAAATGGGTTAATTAAACTCAAAATAGTGTAGAAAATTCTAAAATCAGCAAATAATCAGATCATGTATAGCTTAAATATAGGCAAGTAAAAATTGATCCCCCCCAATAATCCATCTCGACCACCATTTGTTATGGTTCTACCAAAAAGAACTTTTTCTTTTTTCTTTTTTTATTTGATGAGGAAGTGTTTAAGATCTTATACCACATGTTATGTTGCAGTGGTGAAGTGCCTGATAGCTCATGCACAACTCGGATTTGAAGACAACACTAGAAGGCAGAAGCTTTGAGGATGAGTGAAATGATTGTACCTTTATGGCTAACGCTCTATCAAAGCTTTGTATAGCACTATCAGGCTCACCAAAGTTCAACTGGGCTCTGCCAAGGGTGATCCATGCCTGAAGATCCAAATTTTGAATGAACTCAAACGTCAATTAAGATGATGACAATGAACTAATTCTTGGTGATTGATTCGTAAGAGCAAAAGTTTATAGTACGTAGAAGCTATTCAGCACCTGAAAACCGAAAACTAAACAAAATAACAAAAACCAATAAATCATTCAGTAAACACCATCAGCAACTACCATTGTATCGACGAAGCTACAAAAGGCAATCATCTTAGATTTCTGTTATATAGACTAGCTAAAACGCGCACAAAGCCGTCAACTGAATCATATGGCTAACATTAATCCGGCTTTTAAGTAGCATATCAATTTAAAAGATCATCCAAGAAGGAATGTATTTAACACATGGAACATTGTCCAAAGGCAGCATGACAAAGAAGTGACATTACTATTTACTAGGACGAAGAAAAATGGCAAAGTTTCCCCTCGTGAATTAACAGCACCTTGCTAATGGGCTATTCCAGAGCAATTGGCAAGATTTGGTTAAGATTACACTCACTGCATTTAGTGAGTAAGTGAGAACTACCAGACAACCACATTTGTAGTTTGAAAGGTGTAGTGTGTACCTCAGCCCATGAAGGCTCCAATTCGGTAGCTCCTGTTAATTCGAATTCATAATGATAAGTACATCCAGAATCTTAAAATCGAACCACCAACAAAAAAAAATTGTAAAATTAATGATTAAACTAAAGAAACAATATGATTTTTGTTTTTTTGTTTGTTTAGAAAATGGAGCCAAATAGTAAAACAGTAGAAAAACGAAAGCAGAATCATAAAGGGAATGAGAATAAGGACGCACGAGTGGCTGCCTTCAAAGCACTCCATGCATCAGCAATTTCAAGAAGAACTTGTGCTTTCTGTTCGTGCAAAACTGCACTTTCAGGCGTCAAAGTTAGAGCAGCCTCCCATTTCCCCAATGCTTCTCGATATTTCGCCTCCTTCAAAAATGTTTATGTTATATATTATTAGCAACATCCCATCAAACAATAGTTCACCCTTCAAAAACAATTTATTACACATTCACAAAGCATTTCATATAAATGTCATTAACTGTATATATTACTCAAAATTAACTGATTAAAAACCAACGTTAGATGAAGAGGAAAATTAGCTTGCGCATCATTGACATATTCTCATTACTCCCTATTCTTCTTCTTTTTAGGGGGGAAAAAAAAAAAACAAATCCACAATTCAGGTTGCACAAGTACTAATTAGTAATTACAAACACCAAATTTAAAGTCTTTCACAAATACCCATTTCAGAATTCACCCAATACCATACTTCTTCGCCGCAAAACTCTAGCTCTCCACACCAAAAAGTAAACAGCAAGAGAGAAAAAAGAAATAAACAATTTTTTTTTGTTGGTTTGGTTTACCTCGGCAAGTTTGGTTCCTTGGGCAAGAAAGGACTGAGCGAGTTGCTTAGGATCGGAAGAAGGGCTGATCAGAAGATGGGATTTGTGTGCTGTCTTTGTTGGAAGCGTCTGACTCTTCATCACCAGTCTCTCGTGTCGTATTGGGTTGGGAATTGTCGTTTTGGAGCTCGAAAGGGAGGTCTGGGTACACAGATATGGCTCCCAAAGAGCGTTTCTTGTTGTCTTTCTTCTTGTTCTTCCATGTCAGTCTCATCTCTCTCCCTCTCTCTCTCTCACTAACTCTCGGAGAACTCGAGACTTTGTCTAAGCAATAACTCCTCTGCTTCCCACTTTCTTCCCTTGATTCCTCCACCTCCTCAGCCCCGCCACTACTCTGGGCTTTGGGCTAGTAATGTGCGAAGCCCACTGAAGATGCTATTGGGCCCAGTCCTAATACCTGAGTATGGATTTTTTAAAGGGAGAAAGAGGAAAATAAGTCAAGACTTGAGATGAATTAAAATTAATAAGTTAATAATTTACATAAGTTAATAAATATGTCAAATTATTATTTTTGTCTATAACTTATCTGGTTATGAACCATAACTTGACAAGTTATTGTCCATAATTATCCATAACTTGTCTGGCTATGAACCATAACTTGACAAGTTTGTCCATAACTTATCTGGTTATGAACCATAACTTGACAAGTTATGTCCTATTAATTTTTATAACTAAAAATTGACCTATATACTTTCTTAAACTTTTCATATTGGCCTATTTTCTATTATTTTCCTTTTTTAAATTCGTAATAATTACACTACAGGTAAAATTTCATAGAGTTAAAATTTCACAAAATTTTTAGAATATTATAAATATAGTAAAAATAACATTGTAATTATTATAATGATATTATATTTTGTACTATATAATGATATAGTTATTATTTTAATGATATAAAATTTTACTATTATTGTAATATTTTAAAATTTTTGTTAAATTTGAACTTTGATATTAAAATTTTGCTAAATGTGTAAATCACTCTTTTTATTCTTGATTAATACTTTTTTTAGTTAAGTATATATTAATTAAAAGAATATTAATCAAAAGTAAAGAGTAAAAATTCAGACTCATGCACATTAATTCAATAATTTTATCATTAATTTAAGAGAAAATTGCTTAACTTACTGTTAAAGTTAGGCTACACAACATTTTTAGAAAGATAGTTAATATAATATATCACGACAAATACTAATAGAGGTCTTAAATATATATAGAGAGAGAGAGAGAGAGAGAGAGAGAGAGAGAGCTAGAGCAACGACGGTGGGAGTGTCAAATCCAAAAAGAAAGGAAATGAGCATCCCAATAGAGGGAGTGTTTTTCCGGCGAAAAGGAGTTCAGTGAAAAAGATGGTGTTTGACCAAATGGTTATTTCATATTTATTGCACTTGTTTTTTCCTCCGGCGCCGGCGTCCATTTCCCGACGAGGCCCTTCATTCCACCGCCGGGCCGCCACTGCCGAAAGCGTCAAGTTCCATGAAGGCGAACCAAAACTTACAAAAAATACAGGATCTTTAGTGATGACACTGTCTTCGCTAAAGATCAGGTTGCCTCACGAATAGTAGTCATGTGATGAAGGTATTCAGTAACAACATAATGCGTGTTACATAAACGACATGCCGTCACCATTTTACATGTCAATTTCGTGAAAAATTCCACATTAATCAATGAATAGTTGAGATGTCACATTTGTATTAGATTTTTCTTTTCCTTTTCTTTTTTCAAAATAACAATAACAACCAAAGAGGAAAAATTATTATAAAGAATAAAACAAAAACAAAAAAGCACCTAGTCGGGCCCCTCGAACAACCGCAAGAAACAAATTACCACTCTAATAAAGAATTAATTACAAGAGAAAAAAAAAAAAAAAAAAAAAGCAAACGATCACTTGAAAGTTGAAACAATAGAAGAAAATTAACAATCCTATATTTTCTTATTGATTGTTAAGTTGTGAAGTCTATTTATTATCTTGGTCACAATAATTACCTAACACAAAAGTATTTGTAGATCGATCGTGTACGTTCAATTCCCTAGATTTTCTTTATAAGGGGGGGAGTTATATATTCTAGCGTTATTAGAAAGGTTGGAGAAAACATAGCGAGTTGAGAGAGTGCGCGTTTCTCTCTTGTAAACTTGTTAATTTTTATCGTTGAAAGAGTACGTAGTCTCACATTTTAGGGAAACCTCTATAAATTTTACGTTTTTATTTTTGTTTGATTCTTTACATGACATTAATGTGATATTATTGTCAGTTTTAATTAATACAAATTAATTTCCAAACTGTTGGGATACTGGATACGTAGCCTAATCTTGACCAAATTTGTTTTGGAGATCTGAAATGATACTTTCAGATTCGACACTTGAATACTAAACCATGCTATAGCTCGCTAGCTCTTGACCACTAATTATGATGCAACCTCTTGCGTCATCTTCAAAACGAGGAACAAACCAAGAAACACGTAAAAATATATGAAGTCGTTGGATCTTCTGATCCGTCAAATCCACTAATTGGACCCACTAGCTTTTGATACACGGTTTTAATCTCGTCATGATGCTAAACGACACATTTCTCTCATCTTCTCCTCGTATTTATAGACAGGCTCGAAGTTAGGCTTTTTTTTTTCTTGCCAAAACCAGTGCAACACAAAAAATTAATCAGAGTTAGATCTCAACTGGCAATAATGAAGGTGAGAAATTACCCAACTCCAAGTCATTATAAGGCCAAGACACGGCAAGTAGTGGCGATGGCCGAACCAGCAGAGAGGCCAGCACGCAGATCGAGACCCAAAAATGGAAGTGTAATCCCGCGGAGAAGGAGACTGGTGAAGAGAATGGTGTTTGATAGTATAGTCAAGTCCATTAAGGATATTTCTGCTAATTTCCTTAATTGCTCTTGTTTTTCCTCGTCCTTTATGTCAGTACCGAAGTTTGAAAAGGCTAGAAGCTGGCTAAAGAAGGTTTCGCGAGTATTCCGCAGATGCAGTGCCAAGAAGAATAATATATAAGAACGTGCATGGTAATGCATTTCCACCAATAAATTACATGCATATGATATTATCTTAAGCTTATTTTGTGTGGAGAATATATATATATATATATATATAGACACATAAAAGAGTACTAGTGAGTAAAAGTCCTTGTAGTCTTAATTCTGTTAATATTAGTGCGTAATTGCTTATATTTTGCAGTTATTATAGCAGGGTGTGTGTATTAGCAATGGGTCTCTTAGTAAGAATAAAGAATATTATGTTACTATTTCCCCTTTGTTTATCTTGCTACATTTCTCTTGTTAATTGTGTAAGATCAATTTGTACAGAATCACCAGGAGTGGGTCCCATCCAATATTTTTACCAGAAAAAGTCTTTTATTATAAGAGTTTTTTCATCTTCATTCAAAACTAAAGTCCATATAGATATTTCATTTGGATTACCGTGGCTTGGTCTCCAATAGAGTTGGCAATCTGAGTAACGACACGATGATACGACTCGAAACTCGCATAAAGTTAGCGGGTTTCGATTTATTATGAATAAATTTTGGTCAAAATCAGGTCGAACCCGTGAAACACAACTAAATAGCGTGTCATTTTCAGGTTGACCCCCAACCCGCAATTAACATATTGTAACCCGTTTATCAAACGTATCATATTTAGGTAGCATGAATACACAACACAATTACAACTCATTTATTATCTATTTTACAAATATATATTTTTTAAAAGAAAAAAGTTTAATAAAATAAATCTCCAGTCTCGAAATATTTTTAGTTGAAGCACTCTTAAAAAAAAGAGAGATATATAATTTTTTATTAGATAGAGTAATAAATATAAATAATTTTTATATTTATTAGAGTAATTTTTTATTTAGGGGAGGCACAAACATAATTTTTCTTATAATAGCTACAATTAAAAATTATTAAAGAGTTTTAGATATGAAACTTAAAATATCAAAAGTACTTGAGTGAGAGCATAATTGAAAAATGTAAGAAATTAGGTATAAACTTAAAATATCAAAAGCTGAATGAGGAAACGTGCAACCACTGAATTGCATAACTGTCTGTGTCACTATGTGCGGTTAAAAGTTACCGAGTGATCTTTCTTTGAAGGTTTTAAATTTGACGACTTATTTATACTAACTCAATACTACTCTAGTTTAACATACATGAGCTTATCATATATCCCTAATATATTCAATAGGGTTGAACTCGTACTCGTTGCGGGCCAAACCCTTCACCACCTTTTCTTTAGAAAAAAAAAAAAAAAAAAACAAAAGAAAAAGATTGCATGTCTAAAGCAAAATGAAATATACCCTAGTATTTAATTTACACTACAAGAAAAAAAGGCTACTAGCGACGACAAAAAGTCATTGCCAAAAATACAAAGTCGTCACAAATGAATTTTTAGCGACCACTTGTTGTCACAAACCTGTCGCCGCAATTGATTCGTCGCAAAAATAATTTTTGCAACGATTAGCAGTCGTCGTAAATAAGTTGCTGCAATTATTTCGTCGGTTATATCGTTAAGATAAAATTACATTGAGTATTTGCGACGACATTTTGTGAATTAAGTCATCGTAAAAGATGCAGAATTAGCTGACGTGGCTAATATTTTTTGCGACCACATTTATCGTCGCAAATAATATTTTAATTTTTTATATGGCTAATATTTTTTGCAACCACATTTATCGTCGCAAATAATATTTTAATTTTTTATTTATTTTTTCTCATTTTAATAATTAATGTTGTATGTTATTATATATTTAAACCCAATATTAAATATAATTCATGATATTATAATAATAAAGAAGAATTAAATAAAAGGAAATAAATAATTAAAAAATATAAATAAAAATTATTATTGTAGAAAGTAATTAATAAAATAAAATAAAAATGTAATTATAGTAGAAATGTACGGAAATAAAAATTGTTACATTAATAAAAATTTAATATCCTAAATTAGCAGCATCACTAGAATCATCCTCGTTATTATCAGAAGGATTTAGAGGCGGATGACCTGGACGGACATACAGGAGGAGTAATCGCTGGGAAAGTCATGTTGGGGTGCATTTGAGTGATGAAGTCCTACATCACTCTGATATTCTCGTACAGCTAGAGGTTTTGCTGGTAACTATGTTGCAAGTATTCTTCTATGTGTGGGTCCGAACGTGTCGTAGAAGATCTTACCGAGCGTGAGCCAGATGATGACGCACCCCCTCGATAAACCTTTTGTGAGAGTGTTCGACCCGCTCTAGTCTTGTGTCCTCTG